GTCAGTAGAGGTAGAGGGATTATGGGTTTATGTTATGAACTCTATGGAATGTCTTAATTGTGTTTTATGACTTTTTAGCAAGCATTGTGTTAAATTTAATCTGTACTACATGTGATCTTCATTTGTAATTAATTAATTATAATTAATTGATTGCAATCACAATTAATTTGTAATTAATGCAACTAATTTGTAATGAATGCAATTAACTTGTAATTAATTAATGTGGTTTTGCAATTATTGTAAATATGACTTTAAAAAAGAGGTGAGAAAACCCAGAAATGGCAAAAGGAGATCACAAGATCATTAATGGTTTTCACAATTATCATAAATTTTTAAATCACAAATATTAGAAGAATTTTTTTTCCCTTCTTCTGGGTAACAGTTCCAAATGAAAACACTACTGCTTCTTGGTATTGTTTTTAAAAGACCTGTCAAACTGTCTAAGGGGGGAGGGGTCAATAGAGAATTCCCCAGGTCTGACAGCTAGTCCTTCCCCTTTGTACCCCACACTATCTTTTGCACACCACACTGTTTGGGGGCTGTACACAAAACACTCTAGGGCCCTAAGGAAAAAGTTAATTGGTTAAGGCCTCCTTTGGATTGGAGTTTTGAGTGGATATCCTACTTTCTGATTAGTCCAGCAAGGAGCCACTGACAGACCCCTGACAGACCCCTAGAAATATGATTCAATAAGAAGCCAAGCCCAGACACATACTGAGGGAGAATAAGGCTGATCCACTGACCAAGGCAGGGTAGATCCTTGGAAGATTCTGTAAGAATTTAGTTAGCAAGAAATTGTGTTTTCCATTTGTTTTCTGAATTCTTTAGTTACCTTTGTAGATGTTTCCCAGTATGAAGAAGAGTTGGTTTTTATGTCCCACTTTGCTATACTCTAAGGAAGTGGCTTACAATCACCTTCCCTTCCTCTCCCCACCACAGGCACCTAACCTTATGAGGTAGGTGGGGCTGAGAGAGCTCTGAGAGAACTGTGACTGGCCCAAGGTCACCCAGCAGGCTTCATGTGGAGGAGTGGGGCATCAAACTCTCAGTTCTCCAGATTAAAGTCTGCTGCTCTTAACCACTACACCACACTGGCTCTCTGGGCTATGTGTGAGCAGAAATAATCTGTTACAGTTTGCTACTTTGGCTTTGAGAGATTTTGGTCCCTGCCACACGAGGGGCAAAAAGAACGGGCAAAGTGCGGCTTTTAAAAGCCGCACCAAAATAAGCACACGGCGGCGGGATCATACAGATCCCGTGAGCCGCCGTGCAATTGCTCCCCGGCACAATCAGATGCCGGGGAGACCGGGGAGGAAGCCACGGGAGGCTGCCGAACTGGGCATGTCTGAGCATGCGCAGTTCGGCCAGGACCCGGGGATGCGCCGGCGGAAGAACGCGCCAGCGATCCCACAGCTGGCTTTGATGTGGCCGTTCGGAAAGAACCACCTCGGTAGGTGGTTCTTTTTTGCTGCGGATTATCGCCAGAAGGGCAGGATTGGGGATGGGCGTGCAATGCTTCCCAGATGTTGCGGTGGGATCGCGCCCGTTTGCTCCGCCCCCAATCCGTCCCTCTCCCGGCCCTAATCCTCTCGTGTGACTGGGGCCTTTCTGAGTTATCTTCCCCACTCCATCATGCAGATTTTAGAAAAAATGGTGGGGATCTGACCTCAACCTCACACATGCATATATGGGAAGTATTAACCTGCCTGGGGCAGTCACTGATAAATCCTAACATTTCACCAGGTGATGCCAAGAAACTCCTGAAGGCATATCTCTGGTGTCCAAGAGGCCATGTATAGAATGCACAGCTATATCCAGTGAAACATGGAGATGGGTAACAGATGTGAGATACAAAGGAAGGCTGGCATTGTATAGGAAATTGTCCTATCCAGTCTGGATTAAGTGGTGTTCGCGTTGATGGAGTCTGGGAAGAGTTTGGTAGTCTTATTAGATCCTTCCATACTGTTAGAAAAATCAGTTCAATGTGGCTTTTTCCCAACTGCATGCAGTTCAGAAGTTGCCCCGCCCTCTTAAACTCAGCTGATCAGGCCACGCCTCTGTAATTTCAAGGACAGAATGCGTTTTACATGGGGCTGCCCTTGAAGACAACCTGAAACCTTCAATGGGTACAAAATGCAACTGCTGAGTCAGTTGACTAGAACATGTAGGTGTGACCACATCACCCCTGTTTTAAAACTGATTCCTTGGTTCCCTGTATTAGTGATCTTTAACCTCCCCAGGTCCAGGACACCCCCTTTAAACCCTAGAGAAGAACACAGATCCCACTAAGCTGCTAGTATGTGGTATTACAGCCATGTGACAGGAAGGGTGGGAGCCACTGGTGTCAAGTCTGGGATAGTGAGCAGCAGACCAAGAGAGCTGCGGACAGAAGACACAAGCCGAGTACCAGGAGGTGAGCCACAGTGAAAAGTAAGCTAAGAGTTAAAGCCATGGAGGATTGTCTTCACTGCTGAGTGACTTTGTCTCCCCGTTATGGTTAGACTATCAGACTAGGATCTGGAAGTTTTAATCCCCACTCTGCCATGGGAGCTTGCTGGGTGTCCTTGGCCCAGTCACTCTCAGCCTAATCTACCTCACAGGGTTGTTCTGTGAATAAAATTGGAGGAGAGGATAATGATGTAAGCAGGGCTATTTTGGGGCAGGAACGCACAGGAGTTCCGGCTGGCTTCAGAGTTGGCCACACCCACTACAGCCAAAACCTCTGCATGTGTGTGGCTACAGAGGGAAGGCCTGGAGAGCGACCCCCCTAGCGACTCTGGCGGGGGGCGGGGGGGTCCTGGAAGGATTGGGGAGGCATTTAAATGCCTCCCCATGCCTTCCCTGGCCTGTCCAAGGGCCGGCTTGCCTGGGTTCCCTCAGCCATGGTGTGCCCTGGCAAGCCAAGGGAATGCAGTTTAAACTGCCTCCCTCCCCTTCAAGGGGGGGCTTGTCGGGGTAAGCCAAGGGAAGGCATGGGGGTGTGGTCTAATACGCTAATAAGCTGTGGTGTCGGGGTGTGGCCTATTATGCTAATGAGTTCCTGCTGGGCTTTTTCTACAAAAAAAGCCCTGGATGTAAGACACTCTGGGTCCACATTGAAGAAAAAGACAGGGTATAAATGAAGCAAAGAAAGGCAGGAGGTGTGGTAACCTTGCTCTTGTACTTTTATGTATTAGCAACAGATCCTTCCAAAAAGCAGGGGAAATTATGATAACCCTTTTGGGTGCCTGACCCACCTGAGGGTCCAAAACCATCTGTTGAAGAATACTACCTTATATGCTTCCTGGTTTAATTCAAGATGTTGGTTTTTACCTTTAAAGCCCTTCATGACCTGGCACCCATTTTTCTGAAGCTCAATCCAGAGTATTTTCCTGGAGAGCCAGTGTGGTATAATGGCTATAATGTCAGACTAAAATCTGCAAGATATGGGATCAGATCCCACTCTGCCATGGAAGCCTGCTGGGTGCACTTGGGCCAGTCACTTCAGACTACTTATTATTGTCACTCTTAGCCTAACCTACCTTAGAGGGTTGTTGTGAGGATAAAATGGAGGAGAGGCAAATGATATAAGCCTCTTTGGATCCCTGTTCGGAAGAAACATGTAAACATGAAGTGAACAAACAAATATTTTTTCAGTTGTGGTACTGTTCCTGAGGAGCTGTCTCCCAGAGGAGGTCAGGAGCATGTCCACTTTGGCAAGTTGTGGGTGTTTTTTTGAGAATCTTGAACTGTTGGGTTTTGTGTTTTCTTCAGGGTGGTTTTTGTCATTGTTTCTGTGCTGTGCCTATTCTGGCAAGTGCTGCTTTGCACACTGCTTTGAGCCTTTGTGAATGGAGGAAAAGGCAGGATATCAAGATGTTTGTAACAATAAACATGAGACCACATGGAATAACAAAACAGACCCACAACCAAGGCAAGCTAACACAAACCCACCAGTTTCTCCAGGATCTTTCCTCCTGGTCCTCTCAACTGCCAGCTCCAACCCCTTTATACTAATAACCAGGAAGGAGCAGACCTTTCTTAGGTAAGGAGTCAGGTGAGCTGCTCAGGAATCAGCCCCCTTTCAGTCTTCTTTTTGAAAAAGAATGAGCCAAGAAAACCACTTCCCACGGGTCACTAGATCCAGAAGATCCCTGTCCACTCAGCAAAGTGTCAGAAGCACAGCACAAACTCGATTTCCTTTGAGGCTTCCCTATTGGACAGGAGACATTCTCCAGATCACTGATTTCCCAACTGGGGGAGGGGTGGTGCCGCCTGCAGAATCCTGTACTTGAGAGCAATGCTTCCTCTAAGCTGTGGAGTCTTGTGAGCAAAAATTCTACTTTGTGAGCTACTGGCATGAAAGTTGTGAGCGAGCGGTTTGGCTACTGCATAAATCAGTTTGCTCTGGAGCCATCCTTCCTGAGCCAAGACAAAAATGTGTGAGCCGGAAGCTAAAAAACTGTGAGCTAGCTCGCACTAACTCAGCTTAGAGGGAGCACTGCTTGAGAGTCTGGGGTGGCGAGAGAGAATAACAGAAAGCAAAACTAAAAAGGGCACCTGGGTGACAGTAACTCTGGACTGAAGATCCGATGGAACCAGTCGGGGTTGGGGGGGAAGGGGGGGCTTTGGCTCACATGGTACAATGCTTGCAGAAAAAACTAACCCGGGGACATTCTCCGGGGTTTTTTTTTTGTTTTGTTTTAAGAGGAAGAGGAGGGCGGGGGGATGCCTGTATGGATCAGACTGTAAGGACGAAAGAGAGCCGAATACTGGAAGCCGCGAAGAGGCGGGGAAGCGGCAGGGAGCCATGCGAGCTGCTGCAGCGATCAGAGCCGCCGGCTCGTCCAACCCATCCGCGCGAGCCTGGGAAGGTCGGAAGCGGCTGGGCGCCCTCTCCGAAGTTTTCCTTTGGCGGGGAAAATCGGACCACTGCTGAAGACAGGCTGGCGCTGCGGCTGCCTCCCTTCGCCGGCTGCGGACAAATCGCCCTGCAGCCGGCAGGGCAGTCCCGGACTTACCGGACTCCGGAGACCCTTTTGCCCCCTTGCGCCGGGGGCTGGACGACGCCCGCGCCCGCATCTGCCCGACGATCGCCAGCTGCCTCTCCCACTGGCAGTCCGCCCGGCACCTCTCGATCGCCTCTTCCATCTTCAGGTGAAAGTGCGAGCTTTTCGCAGCCATCTTAGCGTGGGTGGGTGTCTCGTGTACAACAAGGAAGTCTCCGGCAGGCAAGCCGCGGCGCGCCTGGGGAAGCGCCGGGATCCCCTCCCCTCCCCGAGCATGTGCACAGTCTCAGTTTCCCGTGTGCATGTTGGGAAGTGAAGTTTCGAGCTTCAGCCCCAGCCAGCTGTGCAACAGTCCCCCTCCGAGACCTGGATGTGTGCCCCTGCTGGGCAGCTCAAAACTCCCTCTGTGAAAACTGACGGCATCAAGGGCGGCTGGCGAAGTTGTGACAAAGGAGGAACTGGGTCAAATGGGGCAACACGTGGCAAGAACGAAGGGGTATTTAAGAGCGCCTTGAAACATGGACCATATACTATGTGGATGGTCCCTAAGAAAAGGATGAGTAGGGGCTCCTAAATACAATTGTCACACACACAACAGGCAACTTGAAGTTTCAGGAAGGGCTCAAAAAAGGAGGAGGACAATCTAAACCTAAGGAGCAAGCTGTTTTGGGTTGGTTGGTTCGTAGGTTGGTTTATTTGGCTTCAGAGTTTTTGCAATTCACTTCACCACTTGCCTCATGCCTATCTCAGGCCAGGGGCATAAACTCAATTTGGGGGGGGGGGGAGGCTCTAAACCCAATCCAGGTCCATACTTAGTAACCCATATTAAACTATTTCAATATGAATTTATTTATCTTTCCAAAAACATATGCCATCAACAATCATGTGATTTTAACAAAAACAATTTTCACTCATAGCAGTCTGAATCTCGGTCATTTTCTCCAGGTGAACTAACTGGAGATCAGTTATAATCCCAGGTGATCTCCAGCCACCACCTGGAGGTTGGCAACACTAGGAAGGACAAACTGACCATGAGAACCTGACAGCCTGAACAGCTTCATGATGCTGGCTGGGGCATTGCCCTAGCCAGGAAATCCTAGGGAAGGTTGAGCCCCACTGCCCCCCTATTATTTACACCACTGTCTGGCACCACCCCCTGAAGCACCAAACTCAGCCAGGCTCTTCTGAGCCACCAGGTGCAGGCCTCTACCACCACCAGCACTACAACATCACACTCTGCCTTCAGACTACTTATTATTGTCATTGTCTGTCTGTGCACCTTGTACAGCTCCTTATTGCTTCCTTGACTCTAAACTGAGGGTTAAGGTACCTTGAGCAAGAGACATTTATGCAATCCTGAAAGGGACATTTGCAGTGGCACACCTAATGCCAAGGTGCATCTGCAACACCATGCTCATCTGAGCTCCCCTGAATGTGATGTGGTGTGCCTATTGATGCAGATCAGGGTGCACATCCATTCTGAGAACATTTTAAAATGGCTCCCACATCCTGACCTGCGTTAGCAGGTGTATGTGTATGTGGCACAAATAGCGCATGAAAAGCAAAAAAGTGCTTCTTATGGCCTCAAGCCCTACCTACTCAAACCCCTTCCACCCCTCATTTCCCATTTGATCTGTCATTGCTAAGGCGCTTATCATATTCTACACATGTAGACCCCCACATCATTTTTTAAAATTAGCTTCTGAAGAGAATTTAGAGCAGAGAAGTCATGGAAGGAGGAGGTACTTGACTCTTTTCCTGTCTTTGTGTTTCTGCTCAAAAATAATCCCCTAAACTGCCCTCCCAGAGGGATTCCAGATGTGTGTCTATAAACACACATCTGGAACTCTGTAGGTTAAGAAGCGACTGGCAAGGATTCTGAGTGAGAAAATGGCTGGGGTGGGGTTAAGCAGGATCTATCTCTACCACTGCTTCTGCTTCTCTGCTTCCGTTTACCTATTAAAGCTGCTGTACTTCTTTTTTAAAATGGCACAGGGCAGTTTGTTTTTGAAGTGTGGACTGGGATCCAAAAGTGAGTTGTGACTTTCTAACAGGCCAGAAGGAAGGTGGAGGAACTGGGCGAGCTGGGTGAGAAGGCTTTGGGAAGCTCAGTGGCAAATCTGGGTAAGCCTCAGTAATGTTAGGAAAAGTTGAAGGCAGTTGGAAAAGAGGAAGACCCAGCATCCTTCAGTTTGCAAGACCTGAGTAAGCTATTAATGACTGGACATTTTGGAGATCATTAATTCATAGTGTTGCCATGTTGGAGGTGACTTTACAGCACAGAACAGGCCCGTAGCTAATGTGGGGCTCATGGGATCCGGCGCCCTAGTGTTTCTTTCAAGCGCCCTCCTTCCCAAGCTGGCCCCAAATTAAATTAATGAAATTAACTTTGATTTAATTAGCTGCAGCCACTCCCCCCCAAATCCCTAGCTACCAGCAGTGTTCCCTCTAAGATGAGTTAGTGTGAGCTAGCTCAAAGTTTTTTAGCCTCTGGCTCACACATTTTTGTCTTAGCTCAGGAAAGATGGCTCCGGAGCAAACTAATTTATGCAGTAGCCAAATCACTCACTCACAACTTTAATGCCAGTAGCTCACAATGTAGAATTTTTGCTCACAAGACTCCACAGCTTAGAGGGAGCATTGGCTACTAGTCTATGTATAAAGGTAAAGGTTCCCTTGCTCGAAAGCTTAGAGGGAGCATTGGCTACTAGTCTATGTATAAAGGTAAAGGTTCTCTTGCTCGAAAGCCAGTTGAGTCCGACTCTAGATTTGCGGTGCTCATCTCCATTTTAAAGCCGAAGAGCCAGCACTGTCCGAAGACGTTTCCATGGTCATGTGACCAGCATGACTAAACACCAAGGCGCACGGAACACTGTTACCTTCCCACCGAAGTGGTACCAATTTAGGTAAAGGTTCCCTTGCTCAAAAGCCAGTCGAATCCAACTCTAGGGTTGCAGTGCTCATCTCCATTTCAAAGCCGAAGAGCCAGTGCTGTCCGAAGAAGTTTCCGTGGTCATGTAGCCGGCATGACTAAACACCAAGGTGCACGGAACGCTGTTACCTTCCCACTGAAGTGGTATCTGTTTATCTACTTGCAATTTCTTGCTTTCAAACTGCTAGGTTGGCAGGAGCTGGAATTAGAGATGGGAGCTCACTCCATCATGCAGCACCCGGGTCTCGAACTGCTGAACTACTGACCTTCCACAGCCTGCAGTTCAGCGTCTTAACCACTTGAGCCACCGCAGCTATTATTTATCTACTTGCAATTTCTTGCTTTCGAATTGCTAGGTTGGCAGCAGCTGGAACTATAGTATGTCTATGTATAGTGCTATGTATTTATAGATAAAAAATTAAATATAAACTTGTTCAGTGGGGAATCAAACCCGGTTCTTCCAGATTAGAGTCCGCACACTTAACCCCTACACCAAACTGGATCACACGTCATCAAGCTCCTAGAAGCCAACTTATCAGGTACTGAATATTTTAACAAACTTTGTAAAAGCCAAGCAAACAGTTTGTACATCTACAAACAGAGAAACTCTAAACATCTCAAGTTAACAATCATTATCTATATTAAAGCAACAGAATCACAAGTCCTCAAGTTGTTGGAGGCCAACTTATCAGGTACAGGAATTTTGATAATGTTTCTGAAAGCAGAGCCAAGCAAACAGTTTGTACATCTACAACCTATCAGGTACAAAAGTTTTTTTTGACAATGTCTGTAAAAGCAGAGCATGCTATGCTGTTAGTGTATATACAATCAAAGAATCTAAACCCTAAAGAATACATATCCTGAAATCCAAAAAATACTCTAGTGAAGGACGAGATGGTAACTGCAAACTAACACAGATCCCCCATGTTATCAAAGAATTTATACTGTTATTTACAAAGAATCTCCATCCAGAAGAAACAAGTCGTATACAAGGCAGGAGGAACAAGTAGAAGACTAATGGGCTATTCATTCCCCCAAAAAACAGGCAAGGTCCAAATCTGCGTTAAGTCCCCTGGGTTGCTCAGTTTGTAACTTAAAAATCCAATGGGCCTCCCTTTGTAATAATGTCTTGCGTGTATCCGACACATGGAACGGTTTGGAACGAATTACTTCCAGTACTATACACTCAAAGTCATTCTCCCCATGCCCAGAATCAATGAAATGTTGAACCATTGGAGCTGTAACATATTGATGTTTTATTTTGGACCTATGTTCCAAAATGCGAGTCCTCAGGGCTCGAGATGTCTGCCCAACAGCCTGCGGGGCCTGCCTGGGGGGGGACAGTGCCACAGCCGGCCTACCTAGGCTGGCGGGGCCTGTCTGTGGGGGCATGAGGGCCGCGGCCAGCCTACCTGGGTCGGTGGGGCCTGTCTGGATGGGGTGGGAGGGCCGCAGCAGCCTACCTGGGCAGTTGTTTATGGCTATGAGGGGGGCCTTCTCCCCACGGTGTCGTCACCTGCCCCGGGCCAGGGGGATCTTAGTGCCTGGTGGCAGGGTTTAAAACAACATTGGAGCCTCATTCAGAAAACGTTAGCCAAAGCTAAAGAGGATTACAAAATTCAAGGAGACAAGGGGTGTGCCCCTGAGTGGAATTTACAACTTGGGGACTCTGTTTATTTGTCCATGAAGAACCTGTGTGGCCTTCAAATGGATTTCACAACACTCATTTCCGAAGATTCCTCCTCCTCATTCCCACGTAACTTACTGAGACTTTCATCATGACCACACACTTTCAACCCACCTTCCTTTGAGACCTCTGCTCTAACTGGGTGGACAGTGTGACCACAACCACATTGAATGACACAGACATCCAACATAAAATGACTTCGCAGACTGCCCAGTTGTTGACACTACTCCACAGACCCCTGTGTGCAACATTTTCTGGCCCACATTGTGTGACCTTGGACACCGGCTATTGTGTAACATAAGGTATGTGAGACTTTACTTCAACATTTGTATCTTTCACTTACAGACTGCTAATATTTACAAATCTAACCAAAGCGAGCTTCTGAAGCAACTTTTGCTTACTTTTGAAAACTTTCCTTGAAATATAAACAATGACTGGGCGGGCAGAAAGGATGGCGATGAGACTGAGACACTCTCCTGGAACTACAAGATCACCACATCCAGCTACTAAACCGGAAGTAAATACTGACTTTATGAACATGTTGGCTACTGCATTGCACCCTATGCTGGAGCAGATGACTAACACCAACAAGAAGTTGGATGAGATCCAAAAACAACTTAAAGAGACGAACGTAAAAACAGAGGAGACTGCAAAATCAGTGAAAAAGGTTGAAGCCAAAACAAAAGAGACTAATCAAAGATTGGAGATGATGGAAAAACAAAGATCCTCTGATAAAGACCAACTTTTAAGACTACAAATGGAAAAATCAGC